CTCTCCTCTCCTCTTTCTTCTACAGATTGGTGGCGAGCTGCTGAAGCGCATGGACGGGGAGCCGCTGCCTTTCTCCCCTCTTTCATCGGCTTCCCTCCTTTCTACAGCCCTCACATTCAGCCCAACCACATCGTCAGTCCTGTTCAGATCAGGATGCCCACCAAGAATAGCCACGCTCCCCCTAAAGGTATGGCACTACTCAGGAGACATCGATCCTCACGGTTGCATTGCAGAAATTAGGTTATTTTAATAGCATTATAAGAGGAGAGTAGTTGTAATTAATTGATTACTTTCCTAAGAGGTAATGGCATTTTCTGTCTCTTCTTTCCAACAATCTATATCTATGTGTCTTCTTCTGCTTTGTCCTATGTTGAGATTTGCTCCTTTTCCAGGCAGATTTAATGACATTCAGTCCTCACTTAGTGATTCTCTCTCTCTCTCCCCCTCTCTCCCCCGTCTTCCCTTGTAATCTTTGTTTCTTGCAGTTTTAATTTAACGGTATCTTTTAATTTATCTTTTATTATGTAAACCAGTCATGTTGGGCTTGTGCCCTGGCGCAGCCTGCATGTTTGATGAGATACACGTATAAATCAATACTTTTATTAGCCTTATTCCGTGCCGCAGTTAGTTCCACATATTTCATTATCCCGTGTAGCAAAGTTCCCAGAAAAGACGGAGCGGATTAGTAATACGCTAGATCTGCTTTCCAGGGGTGAATGGAGCAGTGAATGGCAGCGGGGTCTGTCCTCCCACAACACAATCAGGGAGCTTTTCTGCGAGTCCAGCTCCTGTCCAGGCATCTTCCAAGCCAACCAAAAATTCAAACCCGTCTAACAGTCACCGTAGCAGCCCTCAGAGCAAACCTGCAGAGTTGGTGGAAAAGCCCATCCAAAAAACTAAAGAGAAGGTCAGTACTGTGATTTCATTTGCTGCTCAAAAAAGGAGGGGACAAATGAAATGGAAAAGTTATCCATTATACAGTAAAGCTGATTCTTGCATTTCTTTGCTCTCAAATCAGAAGCCGCGCAAGAAACCCACAGACACTGGCGTGGCAAGCAACAGCGAGTCAGGCTCATCCTCAGACAGCTCGAGTGACGGGTCCCTCAGCAGTGACCTCGAAGATCTGGCAGAGGATGATGAAGATGACGATGATGACGATGACGATGACGAAGAAGAGGAAAAACAGAGTGAATTATCAGACACTGAGAAGCGGACAAAGAAGAAAACAAAGGTAAAGTACGCCCTTAGATACTCTAGAGTCAAATGTATTTTATTAAATAATAACAGACATAGGGTTTTGTGCAAGTTTAAAGTTTCATATGCTAAATCAAATAATCATACCATGAAGCTTTCCTCATTATAAAAGTTCTTTTTTTCATTTTCTCCCCAGGTTTTGATACCAAGCACTGGAAAGACTGAACGGCTCCTCTCTAGGGAGCCCCACCCACCAAACCTCGTGTCCTTACCCTGCTCTGCCTCCCCCCCGGCCCTCTCCCAAACATCGCCGCTGGCCCTCCACAGGTCCCGCACTGAGGGGCCACAGCAGCACTTCAGTGTGATCCAGTCCACTGGCCTGACTGCCAGCTCTAAGCCCCTGGCTCTCCTCTCTCATCCCCGTAGGGAGTCTTCTCCATCTTCCTCCCCCATAGCCCTCACCACGTCTCCCAAACCTCCCAAACTGCTGCCCTCCTCCTCCCCCCAGCACCTGCCCCTCTCCCTCTGCTCCTCCCCTAAGCCTCTCTCCGTCCCCTCTCCACCCCGCTCCACACTTCCCCTTTCTACCTCCCCAAAATCTTTTGGTTTTGGTTCGACCTCATGCGTAACAGGCTCTCGGAAGTCCTCGCTGAAGCCACCTCGAAGATCTGCTTCTGGCTCTGCGAAATCCAGCAAACAAAGGAAACAGCTAGAGACCTCCCTCACGCACATCAATGAGTTCAGGCTTAAACAGGTAAGCCAAAGTGATAAAAGCAGCTAAATAATACCTTTTCATATCCACTTACATATACCATACTGTACATTTGCATATACACAATGTGCTGCGAGTCCTTTATATACGAGTATAGAGTCAGCTGAAGTCAATAACTTGTTGCAAAATAAATGACAGTAATGAGTTTGTTCAATGGAGCTGGGCGTGCAGAAACACTCATTATTACTACACCATAACCAGCACTTCTTTAAATTTGGTGGCCATTTACAAAATGTACTCATCACAATATCCAAGCATCTAGCAGAACTGCTGCTTGTGAATTTAAAAATGTAATCATAACTCATTATTATAATTTTGAAACTATTGCAGCTTCCCATTCATTAGGGATAACACTTTGTATCAGAGGCTACCATGTTCCAAAGGGCCTCTTTACAAGTATAACATGGACTTAAGCAACTCTTAACAACTGTAGTTGGACATCAGAGAGAGACTCTTTGTTTTGTATTATTGATTTAAGAAGCAGTGCTTTTTGGAGTTAACTGGGGATATAGAAAAAGAAATGGACATTTACGGTAGTTATTTCTATTTATACATTTGGTATAAAACTCTTGAGTCCTTTTGAATAAGGGAGTGTTTTGTCTTTGTGTTCTGTTGTTATAACAATATGTTTACAGATGGGTAATCACTTATGTGTAATTGACACTAGCAATGTTCAAAACCTTCATGTGGCATTGTATCATCACAAATTAATTGAGCTCTTACTTTAAATTGTGTACTGTACTTTTTATGTTCAGTTTTATCAATGTTTGTGGGTCAACATCTTACTAGTGTCTTAGTTACTTCGTGTCAAATGTACTTTCTAAGCAGCTACTTTAACCTTAAAGCTGCTACAGGGCAAATATGTTGTCTCAAGACCTTACTTTCCTTCAAAATATAGCTCATTAAGCTTTACGATCTTCTGACTGATTTAGTGGTTTTGCACGTTGCTTGCAGAGTTAAGCCTCCTGATGAAATGGTTAATGATTTTACTTTCATATCCATTCTGAAGCACACTTTGTCTCTGCACATATGCCGCTGTATAATTGACATTTTTCATTGGTTCAGAAGAAATTATATACAAATTGACATTTTTCATGCCTTTACACAAATTCCCTTTCTTCAGATGAAATATGAATGGTAGCCCAGTAATCAATAAGCTAAACCTTTTAAGATCAGCTTTGAAAATAATTTCCCCTTTCCTGTTTTACCAGTATAGAGAAGTTTACAACAAGCTAAATTCCCCCTGTGGTTTCAGAACGGTTACTGTATTTCATGGTCTGTGAAATGGATTTGTTTCACTTCATATCACATCCAGTTGAAAGTGCAACACTAAAGTCTAACCTGCCTTTGCTTAAACACAGATTGAACCAAACTTATCATGAGTGTAAAAAAGGCAAACATGCCCAGCTGCATGATGATGATAATGATGATGGAGCTTTTCCAATGTGCAGACAAGTAATTACAATTCTAGAGAGATACTCCGAGTCTCTTTTCTGTGAACTTGAGTACAATGCCTCTGGTTATTGCATTTGTGTTCTTTTTGTTTCCCAGAAAGAGGCTTAGACTGCGCTAACTGTACCAGTGTTCAGCATTGTAGTTTTGTCACCTGCTCAAACAATCAACAGTGATGCAAACTGACAGCTAGAGCAACTCCACTTTGTCCCATTTCTTTTCTAATTTTTTTCCCGAACTTTCTTTGTTCCACCTTCTCTGCCTTTCCCTCTCCCTCCCTCCCCCCGACTCCCTGCCTCTCCTTGTTGTCTCCCTCTCTACTCCTCCTCTCTTCCCAGACTCTCATGTCCCAAGGGCAGACGTTCCCAGCTGAGCGTAAGAAGCAGCAGCAGGGGCCAAACAAGTCTCCCAAGAGGACATCTCTGTCTTCATCGCCATTGCCACTCGCTCCGCCTCCTCAGAACAATCACTCCAACCTCTTCCTCTCCAGCGCCCTGCTGGGGCTCCCTGAACCCCACCACCCCAATGGAGTCATCCAAAGCATCACTCAGGACACACCTTTGGCCCTCATCACCAAACCTCGCAAAGAATCTGCCTCTCAAGGCAAGTCCCCTCAGTGCGACTCCGATCCTGGGTCGATGCCTGTCAATCTTAGCACAGGGGCGAGCAGGACCCACGGAGGGGCCCAGGCCGGACCCCTGACACAGGCCTTCACTACCTCACCCCATGCCACAGGCCATGGATCCAGAAAGAACAAAACCTCCAGGGGCAAGGGACAGACCCCATTGCTGGGACAGGGACAGGGACTGGGGCCCCCAGACCCACTAGCTGCCTGGAAGGGCTTCTCTCAGAACCATCTGGTGCAGTCTCTGGTAGATTTGTTTCGTGGAGGAGAGCCCGGGATCGGAATCCCCGGAGTGAGTATCCCTGGAGTGGGAATTCCTGGAATGGGGATCCCTGGGACTTGTAACCCCACAGCTGGTCTCCCGGCTAACAAGGAATCTGACGACTCGGTAGATGATGATGATGACGACGAGGATGATGACCTTGAAGAGGAGGATGACGAAGACTCGGATGATAGTCTCTCAGGTTAGTTAGTTCGATATTCAGGGATACAATTTTCACAATGTAATAATGAGCCGACCCTTAAAACACTGAGATCATTTCTGCAACTTCAAATTCTTTATTTTCTCAATAAGTCAAACGTTCTGAAAATGGAAAGCACAATTTCCCAAATCTCAAGGCGATGTCATTGAAATGTGTAATATATCAAACCAAGAGTTCAAATATCAGAAAGACGAGAACAAGTTGCAAATCCTCACATCTGAGAGGCTGGAGCTACGCAATGTTCTCGTTTTCTGCATGAAAAGAATCGATCCTTATCCCTTTTTGTGTCCTTGACTCCCATTTCAGAATCTGACAGCAACTCAGACAGCGACATCTCTGGCAAGAAAGTGAAGGAGTTGAAGTTTCCATCTGGATCATCTAAGAAGGAGATGAGCGCTCGCAGGCTAACCAAAGGCACAGAACTACTGAACACCTCAACCAATCACACTGCCACCAGCTGCTCCCCGCTCAACCTCCAGGTCATCAAGTCTCCCTCCATTGTCACCGGCAGCTCCAGTGCCTTGGCCTATCACAGCTCTCCAGGCTCTTCCTCATACAGCTTGGCCCCACCTCTAGGTAATGTGTTTTTAAAGCTATACGTAGAAAGTTAAACAATTAGTCATCAAGGATGTTTGCGGTGTTGTATCAGTAAAAAACAAACAAAACAAAACAACCAAACCAAAACACTTTATTTAAAGGCATGAGAACAGCGCTTCATCCTCAGGTGACTGTGAAGAGGGATTGTTACTTTTAGGTAGGCAGGAAGAAGGCTGTTGGTAGTCATGGACTAACTGCAGCTCTCAGGTCATGTAGCTGCATGCCCAAGAGCCCAGACAACTTGTTTGGCAAAGCAACACGGTTGACTCCTGCTGTCTTTGAATGCCGAGTGGTTTTCCCAGGAAATAAGACATGGGTAGCTTGCCAGGAAGGCAGATATTAGTCTTCCCTCTGTTGTAAATAGTTGTTATGTTCTCTGGTGCTGCTCTTCAATGTAACCCTTTCATCAGACAACAAGCGATGTAAATGTATTTCTGTGTTTCTGCGCATTTCGGGCTTGTCATTTTAGGTTTATCGTTTAAAAATGGCAGCCTAGAGAATTGTGTGTACGTTTTAAGCTTTGTGGTGAAATGCTGCTAGTAAATGCAAACACGTGATCTTGGTTCCCTGCCAGGTATGATTACAGGTAAAGGTCTTTGACTGCTGCGTTGTATGTGTGTGAGATTTCCAGTTGTGCTGTCAAATTGATGGCTGAACTGTGTCTCTCCACAGGATTAGGGAAGAGGAAGAGGGTGATGGATGAGAAGGAGTTGATGATACCTCTGGAGTTGGGGTATGTACAAGAGGCTGAGAGAAGGAAAGCTCTTATGAACCGGTTCATTTCAAAGTGCTCACACCTGTTATTGATCACAAATGTGTGGCATGCTGTTTTTTCTGAACAACAGTGGTATTTTTCTCATTCTTTAAAACCCAGGTGGCGAAGAGAAACGAGAATCAAATCAGTGACTGGGCGGCCGCATGGTGAGGTGGCCTACTACGCACCGTGCGGCAAGAAAATAAGGCAGTACCCAGATGTGATGAAGGTACGCTGTAGTCTGCTTTCTGTAGTCTACATTCAGGATACAGGAGCACATCATTGGAGCCATACAGATCAGCAGTTCATTCTTTAACAGGGATTAAAGTGGGACTTTTATGATTAATTATAACATGTTGAATCAGAAAAGTGTTCTGACAGTTGCATCTTTTTAGAATGAAATAAATATTTACACAAACATATGAAGTTAAAGTAAAGAAGTCCTGGATAAATAAAAGGATATACTGCTCATCCACATCGCTCAAAAAAAATGCTCTTCATCTGGATTTGTTGTATATGACCTATTCTATCGCTGCTCCTCACCCACACTCCTCCCCTGCTTCCTGTGACCCTCATAGTGTGAGATTGTATTCTTTGATTTCCTCCTTCTGCCACTTTCTCCCACCTCTCCTTCCCTAAAAAAGATGAATGGTTAGTTTTGGGTTGCACAGATTAAGCCCCATTTGACAGTACATTTATAATCTATGATCTTCTTTATTTGCTTCATCAAAAGCTCATAGCTAATTGACAGAACTGCCTCTGAGTGTAGAAGTGCAAAGAGAAAAGTGTGTACTCAGGAACACTGCGTGTCAGTCAGTAGGCAGTAAAAAGCCTCAGATAAATACGAAAGGGCTTGAATTGTGCACCCCAAGGTCAGAACCGTTTCTCTCCTAAGAGCATTTGCTCTTTTTTTGTCCCCATGGCTTTTATAATGATTAGTAGCAGTGCACAGACGCACAGTGTAACCTTAGACTCCCTCCAATCTCGTGCTCCCAGTTGCTTTTCAATGTCACATTAATTTCACAGTTTTTTTTCCCTGCCTAAACCAACGCCGTTATTATTTTCTCTTTTGTAGTATCTATCCAGAAATGGAATAAGTGGCATCACGCGCGATAATTTTAGCTTCAGTGCAAAGATAAGGGTTGGTGACTTCTATGAAGCCAGAGAAGGACCCCAGGTGACTGCCTTTCATCTCTATTTCTCTCTCTTCCTGATCCCTGTTCATCTTTTCATCTAGCGGCAGGCAAAGCATCATTCAGCAGTGGCTGTCAGGGCATGAATAGGAATCAACCAAAAGCCTCAGTAATCCTAGTTCATAGACCATTCACTGTGCATGGGTTAAATGTTATAATCAGCTGATATTACTTCCACAGGTGACCAATCATTTACATTCCATTACTTATTCTGTGATATAGAGAGAAGAAATAGAATTAGAAATTGGATGTGCAAATTATTGGAAGCAGAAAAAAAAACATACAGTTCTGAGGGGCCAGAGATGATATATGACAGCACAGTAAATGAGTGCTTCTTATGAAATGCATTGTTTAGCCAGATTGTATCAGGAATTATATTTAGATATATTATTTATCTCATCTATCCACCACTGTTGAATAAACCCAGATTAAATGTCTACTTAGCTAACAATTAAATTGCCCTTTAGTCACATTCATTTATGTATGTCAACATGTCATTCACTGTTTAACACCCCCCCCCCTCAATCTCTCCAACGCTGCCTTTCCCTCTGCAGGGTTTACAGTGGAGCCGTCTGAATGAGGAGGAAGTCATTCCTCACATTTTGGCGATGGAAGGTCGTAGAAGTCGCCCTTCTACAGAGCGCCAGCCAAGGGGCGAAGGTGGCAAAGGGTCCCGACGGAGGAAGGGGCGGCCCCCTAATGTGGGCGATCCCCTGGTCCCCGAGGGCCCCAGTCCCAGTGAGGTCAAACTCCTGCGCAAACTAGAGGCTCAAGGTTAGCACAGGAAATGAGCCCTGAAATATGTTTGTCGTGTAAGCGTATGTGCCATTAATCAAGCAGCCATTATTCTGATAGCAAGAGTTAGAGGTTACTGTTTGAAATTGTTATTTTGTTTCTGTAGAAGTCCTTTTTTTGGTGATGGATGTTTGTTATATGCATCTATTTAAATTAAAGTAAAACAAATACTTTTTTTCCAAATTAATCACCATTGTAATCATTTCCTTGTGATGTTACTGTGCATTTTATTTGGCTTTGATAATAATATTAGTGCATTATTTTTGGCACCAACACTCCTTCAAAAACATATTTGAATTTATATTTCAGTATTTTTAGGTGCACACATTAACACACAGAAAAAAAGCTCTCTACCCCTTATTTTGTCTTTTCCACAAAAGCCAAAGAATGATTTGGTCAAATGTGCCATGTCAGGCTACAGCAGTCTTCTCCTGTAACTTTGAACCGACAATGACTTTTACCCCTTTCTGCAGAAATAGCGCGACAGGCTGCCCAGATGAAAATGATGAGAAAAATGGAAAAGCAGGCAATGGCGCGTGCAGCCAAAGAAGCTCGGAAACAACAAGGTATTCCTCAACAACAATTTGTTTTGTGTTTGTTGTTAACAGGAGCTCAGTGCTGTAAGGATGATAGTGGTGGTTTTCAGTTGGCCAGTTCATTCACTTTAAACTATTTCCCAAGTGTGAAGTCCAGCAGGGCCTCTGCAGACACTGATGCTACTAATACTACTGTTGTTAGTAAATGTTTGTATTTATTCTCATCACGTCAAAGCACAGGCTTCAATCCTTTTTTCCACTCTAATCTCTTATCCGCGATGCTGCTGGTTTCAGTTATTATGCTTTCTTTGTATTCCTATACATGGTGTTGAAGCTATAAATGTAATCAGAATCTTAATAGGTTTCTTTATGTGTGTTTTGACTACTGTATAATTAAGGTTTCCATTATACACCATACTACGTTTTTCATACCTCCAAAAGAAGTTTTATTTTAATTAATTTTAATTTAATTGTGTTCTGGTTGTTTTCAGTTGCTGTGTGTTTTTGCTTTGTATGACTGACTCACCTTAGTTGTGAGTTTCTTGGCCTCTTGTGGGTGAAATAGATTGTGATCTCCTAAATAAAATAAAGCTTAGCAACTGTAATTCTCTCAGATATGACTGCTACTAGCTTTGAAGGTCATTTTTGTCAACACTAATACAACGCTGACTTGACTCTTGTAGCTATCATGGCAGCAGAGGAGAGAAGGAAGCAGAAAGAGCAGATCAAGATCCTCAAGCAGCAGGTGGGTTTGCCTTACGTGTGTGCTGACAAATCTTTTCCCTCCCTTTCTCCTTATCTAAGTGTCCTGACACACGTAGTCTCCGTGTGCACCGCAGGAAATGCTGAATGGTTATTTTGTGATGCTTCAAAGCTTGCTTTTCAATTATTACTTCTCATACTGAACTTATTGTTGTGTCCTTGGAATAGAGTGGTTGGCTAGTGATTTTATTAAAGGATGTTTTCCAATGTTTAAAATATGAAAAGATTATGTTTTTATTTGTTGTTGTTGTTTTTACAGGAAAAGATCAAGCGCATTCAGCAAATTCGGATGGAGAAGGAAATCAGAGCGCAGCACATTTTGGAGGTACAAAATGTGATCCAACAGCACCTCTGATTAAGCAGAACATTCCTGGATAGCTTCAGCCCCTCAGTCTATAGTGTTTTAATCTTCCTAAAGCTCATTACTGAACAGCAGCATGCATTGGAGGGAACTGCGTCTTCTTAGGCATAATTCCACATGGAACTAATGCTAAATTGGTCTTGGTTGACGGCTGTTGAATATTAAAATGGCTGTTGCTGCCTCTTCAGACCTTATTTAAATTGGACAGAAAAGTCGTTTTTTCTTCAGACAACAGTTACAGTTTAGCATAAGTGGGTCGAAGATAACAAAAAAAAAGGCTGTTTTCCACAAACACGCATGCAATGATGCATCCCCACACATATGCAGGCACACACAATTATACTGTAGGAGCTTCAAAGTGTTTCAGCAGGACTAAATCAATTTTGAGTTGACACGGTTGACAAGCCACTCTTAACGGGAGGCTTCAACATTTTCACAATTAGGTGTTAAAGAGATACATTATTCATTCGCTGTGTT